CCCTGCCCCAGCAGCAGCAGCACCGGGCCCTGCCCAAGGCGCTCCTGCCAGGGGCTGGGCCCTTCAGGCAGGGGCAGAACCCACTCCCTGGGGCGGCCTTGCTTCCCCGGCCCTCGTCCGGCCCAGCCTCTCCCTGTGTGCGCGCTCCCCACAGCACAGGCTGCACTGGGCAGCATCCCCTGATGGGCCCTGCAGAGCTGCCCCACGGGGACACTTCCCTTTTATGTCACAGGCACCACAACCTGTCCCAACCAGCCCTGCCCATTGTCCCCACCCTGGCTCAGTGACTCACAGTGGCCCCTGGCAACCAAAGAACCAAAGCCCCACACCCCCAGAGTGCAGCCCCACCCATCTGCAAGGGGCACCCAAAGGGTTCCCTGCACAAAGCAGCCCCTCCAAACCCTTGTCAGATAGAAAACTGGGGGACATGATCCTTGGATGCTTTTAGTACAGAGATACAAGCTTTTCTTGAATAATGGAGGGGCTCACTTTTTTATTATTAATATTTACAGTTATCCATTTGGGGACAGGATGTCCTACAGGCTAATGTGGTGTCACATTTGGAGTGAAAAGTACTTTTCAAAGAAACCCAGGGGGCATGGGTGATGCCGAGGAAGCTGCCAATCACCCAATGTGAAGCTTTGCACCAGCACTGCCCTTTCACACGCATCTTTGGCAAAGATGTCAGGGTTTAGTTTCTAAATCAGTAACACTTGACAAGACCTCTTTATGAACTGACAGCAAGAGAACTTAGGAACAGCTTAGGGTTGGCAAGTGTAGGAGCCCACAAGAGAAGGGGCTGATGGGTATGTCGTGAACACTGACAGCTGGATGGTCGTGGAGCCGACCAAGGACTGCTGGTAAAATAGAAAGAACATGGGACTGGGGAAGGGGCCACGTGGGGAAGGGCAGCACTTTTCCCAGACAAACATCCTTGTTCCAGTTCCAACAGACACAAAAAACAAGTGACAGCCTCAGCACAGAAGCTCCTCTTTGCCTTGCCTTGCTGTCATGGTTTGAGAGCCCCAAAAATCCAATTTTCTAGTCAAAGCCCCCTCCCACATCTCAACCCTATGTGAGATGGGTTTTCCAGACAACCACACGAGACTCAAAATGGGGGAAAGGGAATATATTACAATGACTGTACACATAAATATTATAATACATTACACGCACGATCTCAACTATCTCTAGATATCTCTACTGATAGATCAGTATTTACAATGGATCAAATCTCTTCTCCCCTCCAAATAAAAGTCCAGGAGGGAAGAAGGAAAGATCCTTCTTCAGAGTAGCAGTGTCTCTAAGGCAGCAGGCATCTATTTCCTACTCATGCATGCAGCAGCCGTGGTTGGATCTCTGCCAGTACCCACGAGGGGGTATCCAAGCCCCCTCGGCCACTCGTCTTTCAAGTGAGGGTCTTCTTCTGTGGGCTGCGTTCACCCAGACAAGGTCATTTCACCACGGTCATACCACGAAGCTCAGGGGTCTTTGTGATGGTCTGTATCTTCAGGGGATCCAAGCCCCTTTGCAGAGCTCCTGTGCTCTGCCTCAAGCACCAGGGGAGCCAAGGTCACCCCCCTCCGCATTCTTTCTCTGAGCTTTTTAGCTCCTCTCTGCAGTGCTGCTGCAGTTTTAGGACTTCCATTCAGTAGGAGTCCATCCTTTCCACTTAGGAAAGATCACAAAAGCAGTTTGGGGTTTTAGTTTCAGTTCTTACCCCAATTTCCTCTCTCTCTCTGTTGGCTCTCTCTCGCTCTCTCAGACAACTCTGTCTTCCTTGCTCAGCTACATGCTGTTTCTGCTACTTCTCCAGTTCAGTTCTTATCTGTTGGCTTTTAGCCATAGCCTCTGTTCACTGCTGCCTCTGCCGCTGCTCCGTTTGCCCACTCACGGTGGAGAAAACTTCTTTACCTTTCAGTCGCAGGCACTTAGCCCAGCATTACGCTGTTCCAAGTCCCTGCAGCCCCAGCTGGGGGCTGGGGGGGAGCCAGAGCCCCCCAGGGGCTCCGGGCCCCTCAGCTTGTGGCTTTCACAACATGGCTACCTCTTCTACAACCAAACTACAACTACTTCTCTTCCGTTCTGAGTGTGATATGTTTATATTTCGCAGAAGCGCTCATTGGATAAAACTTCAAAACTTCCAGGGTCACCATCCCCTGGGGTTTTACAATTTTATAACTGCAGGGGGAAAACTGTTTCCCCCCACCACACTTGCCTTGCCAGACACGAAAGACATCACCTGCTGGACTCTGCCCAAACACCAACCCCCTCCTCTCCCTTCTCAACCACTCAACCACAGCCTGCACACACCCACACCTGCCAGGGCCAACTGGCTGTTTCTCTTCTCTTTTCTGCCTGCGGGCAAAGGAAGAAGGACAGGGAGGGCATTTGCCTTCAGGCAGAGGGAAGGGGAAGGAGATCCCCCCAAATCCATCCCTGGCAGGATGGGGGCTTGGGGGGACATTGGGGGACCCCCAAGAGTATTTTCGAGGGGGGGAAAGAATGGGGGCACCCACAGGGGGTTGGGGGGCAGGGACCCAGGAATCTCGTGGTGGGACACTGGGGGGTTCCCAGTAGTTTCTTGGGGGGGTTGACCCCCAGCAGTCTGGGGGGGAAAAATGGACAGAAGAATCCATCGTAAAGGGTTGGGGAGACCCAAAAGATTCTAGGAGGGGGTCGGGAAGGGCCCAGGAGTCCTGAAGAGGGTTTGGGGGTAACCAGGAAGGAGTTTGGGGGTCTGAGGTGGTTCCAGGGGATTTTCAAGGGTTAAGAGGACGCACAGGAGATTTGGGGGGGGAAGGGGGAAAGGTGGAGGGGCGACCCCCAGGAGGGGGGCTTTTGGAGGGTCCCCAGGAGTCTTGGGGGGGATCTGGGTGGTTCCCGAGAGTCTTGGGGGAGATTTGGAAGGGTCACCAGGAGCCCCCGG